CTAGCAGCCTCAACTACTCAATATTTAAGGCAACAACAGTGCCAGTGCACTCTTGGTGACCTGACCAGACTTGATACAATCCTGCCTTATATGTTGAGGGATGGGCATGCCCTAATACTCAAGATAGCAGCACTGTGGAAATCAGTCTCTCTTAGTATGAATCACGAAACAGCTTCTGCTGGAAACTAGAAGGCCCTACTGGTGGTCAGCAGTAAACTGGACAGCAATTCAAAATCAAGGTGGTCAGGGGCTGGTGGGCATCTAAGGCACAGAGCACCACATGGAAAGTACATGCTGCTGTTGCCCCAAAACTCTCCACAAATACCTACTCTCCTGTACTACTACCACTGAAAATACACTTATTTTCTCCTGTACTAAGGATATCTATCAGTTGTGTCGTACTTTATTCTTGTCTGAGCAAATAAAGAGGCAAAAGCTGCAGTTACAACTCTGCCAGAGAGCTACCTTAAGCCACGCAGAGAACTTTCAGAGATGCCATCCAATGTTTTTAGCTGACAAAAACCAAAGCCCAGCATCAAACCACTTCCAATCTCCTAAAATCCTCTTAGTCAGAGCCTTCAGGCTTGAGCCTTGTGTCTCCAGGCAGAGATTCCTGCATGAAGTTTCATCACCTACACTATTGATGCTGACCATAAGGATAAGTTAACGTTTCTCAAACAGTTCTGATGAACCCTGGAAAAATCTCTTGGTTGAGGCCAGGTAGGCTCTGCTCACAACACACAGACCATAGCAGAAATAATCCAGCACACGTGTGGGAAGAAGAAAGCTTTAAGTACATTCACATTATATCATTAAAAAAGTTTGAAAGTAGTTCACTTCCAAAATGGGTGGTGTTTCACTGGCCTGCAGCAGAGAAGGCAAGTAGAAATGCCTTCTTAGCTCCTTTTCAGCAAAACTGCCTGAGCACCTCTGCCCCAACCAGGACTAAAACCAAAGAGCTCTCTCACTGAGAAACTTCCAGCTACACTAAGTGGTAACTACAGGTACTATCTGCAACACATTTCAAATGGAAAGAAAGGATTGGAGCGTTATGGCAGAGAAGCATTTATAACCCAAGTCCTGGGTGTCCTGTCAACCCTTACAAAGACTGATTTTGTTAATATGTAGCAAAACAACTTCTAGCAGGATCCTGGAGCCAAAAACCGTAAGGAAAGTTCGATACTGCAGTTCTTCTGCAAATACAGCAGATACACTGTAAAGTTCAGCTTGCTTCTGCCATACCAAAAGCTGAGCGAATCAGGAGCCACCCCCAACAGCAGGCGCAGCAGTACAGATTTAACATAACTATTAGAAAAAACCGTTGGCTACCTCGGGAGTGTCGATGTCTTGCACTGGTGAGTCACCATCGTCATCACTGCCTTTTCTCTTCCTTCTATTTCTCACACTCTGAATTAAGTTTTTGTGGAAGTCACAGATATAAAGGTGTCTCGCCTACAAGAGTAAGACCGCATCTTTCAATCAAAACCATGCAAGCTCCTCCCAGCCTTGCGGTATAGAGGCATCTACGGAGACATTCTTTCGGCAGCCTCGCTCACGCGGAGCGATGTGGGGAAGCTCTCCCGCCGGATTCCGCTGCACGGAGGCATTGTTATGCCGCGCGTTACCTCCAGCGACTCGGCCGGAGGACGGGGAAGCGCAGCGGCTCCCGGCTGACCCGGAGGGAACCGCGCGCAGCGGGGACACGCGCGCACACAGCCCTCCCTCCAACCGCCCGCCGCAACTCGGGGATCGGCAAACAAACACGCACAAAAATCCGAAAGCCCACGGGAGGCAGGCGTCCTGCGGGAGGCAAAACGCCACCTCCTCCCGCTCCGCACGGCTTTACCTCCACAAGGTCAAGCAACACGCGGGCCGCTCCCCCCATGTCCCGGCTCCCCTGCGCAGGGCCGCACCGTACAGGGGCACTGAGCCCTCCGCGCCCGGGGCCCCGCGCCCACGGCCGCCGGGTGGGGCAGCGACGGCCCGGGGCTCCTGGCGGGACGGGGCGGCGGCAGCGCTGCGGGCAGGGCTAACCGCGGCGCGCTCCGGGAAAGGAGGGACAGGGAAACGGCGCTTCCCCGCCGCCAGCAACAACGAAAAAAAAAAAAAAAGAAAAACGCAAACAAAAGAAAACACGCCAAAAAAGAACTTTAAAAGCCGCCCCCGAGCCGAGCCCTCTGCCGCAAGACTTACGCTCTTGTCCAGCTCGATCTTCACCTTCTTCTGCGAGATGCTCTTCTGGATCCTCTTGCTAAAGCTGGCGTTGCCGGCGGCGCGGCCGCACCGCTCGCCCTCCTCCCGCAGGCAGCACAGCTGCCCGGCCCCGGGGCCGCCCGCCCCGGCCGCGCCCGCCGAGCCCGCGGCTCCCGCAGTCAGCCCCGGGGGCGCCAGCCCTACCGGCACCTCCGAAACGGAGCCCGCGCCGCTCGCCGCGGCTGCGGCGGCTGCGGCGGCGGGGTCGGCCCCGCGCTGGGGCAGCTCCTCGGGAGCGAAGCCGTTCATACCCCGCGGCGGGCCGGCGGGAAGCCCCGCAAGCGCCGCCACCGCTTCCTCCCGGCGGGGGCACTTGGGCCCGGAGAGCTCTCCGGCCGCGCTCAGCACAGACCGCGAGACTCGCCCGCCGCGGGGGGACGCGCAGCGCGACGGGCACCCGAGCTCCGCGACTACCGGCGCGCTGGCGGCACCCTACGGGCCGCCCCACTTCCTCCTTCCCCCTCTGTCATGTGGAGACTCTTCAGCTGTTTCCTATGCAACAACAGCAACCTGCCCGCCGCCCCGCCCCGTCGCACCGCGCGTGCTCGCAGCCGCGCCGCGGTGCGCGCCGGGAAATGCAGTTCCGCCCGGCGCTCTCCGCTGCGAGCGGCGACGCGGGGAAACTACGGCTCCCGAGGTGCGCGGCGGGGGAGGCACTCCGCTCGGCCCCGGCCGCGCTGGAGGGGCGCGGGGCGCAGTTCTGTGCCGCGGCTCTGCCCACCCCCCGCCGCCGGGGGGCCGGACCGCGCTGGGGTGGCGGCGGCTCGGGCTGGCTGGTAAGGGGCCGCCCTCGCTCCTCCCCGGCGGCGAGGCCGTTGGGATTTGAAATGCGGGCGTTCGGCGGGGCCGTACCGCCAAAACGCTGGCGATATCGAGAAGAGCGAGCGTTTCAGCTCTCGGAAAGCTACACGAGAGCGGCGTTAACGCAAAGCCTTTAGTAGCTCAGCCGCTGTGGTGACGGAGGGGCCGGCTCTGACCTATTTTCGCCCGAGTGCGTTTGGAGCGCGAAAAGGAGGCTTTGCGTTCCTTTTGAACCCTTAAATTCGCGAAAAGGCATCTGGGCTGCCTGCGCCCCGAGCGCCGTGAGGTAACCGCGGAAATATGTGGCCGTATCCATTACCGTGCGCTTGTGGAATCAGAAGAGTAACCGGAAGGTCAGCGAGCGATTTGAGGAGACGCAGATCCCGTGTAAGCCGAAGACCTGCCTGAGCCAGGGAACGCGATTATGCCGCAGTTTGGGTTTGTGCTGCAGATGGCTTTTTAATCTGGTTGCATAACCTGGCATTAGAGAACAAGGGTAGGTCCCGCTTATGCTCCCAGTTGTGACTGAAAGATTCAGCAAGCGGAGTTAGGCTGAGCATACAGTAACAGACAGCGGTTACGCATAAGGGCACGTTTCGTGATTAAAGGGAGGAACTGGGTAAGAGCTGGAAAAAATAGCAAACCCTCCTTTGTTATCGGCCCAGCTGAAGACTGAGCGAAGCATCTGGGTTCAATTCCACGCCCTGCCACTGTGTAATTTCAGAAAACAGACGTTTAACTCACTGCTAAAGCTTCTTGTTATTCGACCCTTTCAAAAACGATAATGATGTTAATGATGAAAAACAAAAGAAAACACACAATAGGAGGCCTTACCTAAAGAAGATATAGGAAGCATATGCTTGAAACGCTGAGAGAAGTGTGAGTTCCAGGAAGTTTCCAGTGGAAATCAAGGTCATTAGTAGCAATTTGTAACACCTCACACTATGCCTTTTGAGATCCATTTCATTTCTTCAGGTGGTTTTGACCTTACAGTGAGCATAAAATACAAATCTCTGTTATGTTTGCTTGTGATCTGTTAAAAGTGTAGAGACTGCTTATACGTCTCGGATACATTCCCAATCCTCTTTGTACAGTTTGTGGGCAGCTGAAAGCCTGATTTCAGTTGTGCTCGCCAGTATGTTAATTCCTAAGCTGAATTTCAATAGAGCAGTATCATAGTTTCACGATTAGATCACGATAAGGCTGCAGCAGGGTTGAGAAACACAGCTCTGCTTCTGCTGTAAGCTGCTCACTTTCACACCTGTGCTCTGTCTTTCTTTGCGCCTGTAAAAGCATTTATAATGCTGTATGGCAAACTGGGTTGGGTTACAGCTAGAGCAGGGAAAAGAAAATCAGTTAAGTTAAACTGCCATCTGCTTTACTGATCAGTTATATGATCGTGTCCTGGCAGAAAGGAAGGTCTGATGGAGGGCAGGAGTGCGTGAATGATTCAAGAACAGGGAAGGAACATCTCCTTTGGTAGGAATGCCTAAAAGCTACTTTGTCTTGAAAAAAGGACCCGGATTCACAAATAGGCCCTGAACTTCCTGGTACCAGGGAAAGCCAGGCACAAGTGGAAGCTGAGCAGTTTATGCACTTTGAGATGCCGTATGTCCCAGCTCGTGTTAGCTTTTGACTGATGTTGTTTGTAATTTGAGAGGGAAGAATGATAACTGGACACATCACCTTGAATATATTGCAAGCACACTGTAAATGTGTTACAAGTAGTCTTGGAAAGGAAATGTAGTTCATGACTGCATATAGAACTTAATAAGGTTCAGTTGGGGCTGGCTACTCCCTTCCCCATTAGGTACCATTCATCTGAAGTCTAAGAGTATTTTAGTGCACTTATGTTCAGCACCTCAAATTGTCCTGTTAGCAAATACAGCATTAAGGAAAATAATTGGTGCAAGTTTTAACAGTAAATGTACATTTTATTTGTTTCAGACTGTAACTGTTTCAATTAAAAACAGATTTCCTTAATTTGCTACAGATATTCTACAACATTCCCTGATGTTTTTGATGAAAGAGCAACCAAATCAACAGGAAGTCACTGGCTGTGTGTCAGAAATCATGGAAACAGTTGATATGGTGTATTTTAAGTACTTCAGATGCTGAGATCTATTTCTCACTGTAAACGTGATAAAGAACAGTGAACAAATCTCTTCTTCCTTAGCAGAAACAAAGTTCTATCCTTTTATCATGCTCTTCTTTCTCAAATGTTTGATCCTCTCCCACTCCAGCACCCATTAACTGCTGTTGCCTCCCATTTATTGTCCAACTGTTGAAGCATAAAGCTGAAAACACAAGAATGTTAAGATATACCTACAAACCACTTTTTTTTTCTTTTTTTTCTTCACTGGAATAGCTAAAATGCAACTTTGTTTGGATACTTAATCAGGTAACAAAATCTCTATTAGCACACATAGAGCTTACTGCAGGAGAACTAAGGAAGATGATAAGAGAGAAAATCCTACCTTTAACCAAAAGAATTAAATTGGTGTAAAACTGGTGTTTTTCGGGCTTTGAGTCATGCCGTTGAAGCCAATGTTCCTTTTGTTTTCTTTTTAAAGCATTCCAGCTTGCAAAATGAAAATTACGAGTGTATAAGAGTTTATGTAACAGGTGCTTTTATTAGATTTAAAGCAGTAAATAGGGTCCAAAAATAAACACTGTATTTTAAGAATAATCTAGGTGTTACAGGATTAAAACTGATAAGCCTGTGTACTGTAAAAGCTTTGAAGGTCTGTAATGCATGCCCCTTCACAGTTTGTACCAACTCACTTGTGCAGTAAGCAAAGGACCTTCTTTTGAAAAGCTTCATTTTCATGTGCAAAAAAATGCATAAACGGTACAGAAACATGAAGTGTTCTTTGCTGAATATATATGGCAGAAGTTATTTGTTGTGGGATTTAAACATTAAAATACACTTTACAAATGAAAAGTATGGGTCATATCCGAATGCATCTTAAGTGTGATGTTTAAAGTATAACTGTGTACGAGCACAGAGCCCACCTTTAGCTTTGTATTGAGGTATGTATTAGGTTTCAATAATCTTTCTCCTCACAAGCCCCCATTCATGCAAGCTAGAAGAGCACATCCATCTGTTTGTTTCAGAGCCACTATTGCACTGATCATTTGTCCATCCAGGCTGCTTTGATTAACGTTTCATTTCACATTCACGATTTCACAGATCACAGTCAGAAATAAACCCAGCAAGAACCAACAGTAGTGCTCTTGTGAAATGTAACGCAATAACCAGAGATCTATGGCAAAAACTATCACTCCCAGAGGTTTTTCTTAACAATATAATAGAAAATTAGCTATGAATAATAGGTCCAACACTTGCGTATGACTTAAGAGTTATTTGTTAATCCCTTGAGAAGAAATAAAGAGCTGGGCCGGCTCTTTATGTTGACAGCAAAAGAAACTCATTTTTTTACAGCGAATTCTTGTGGTCTCTCTTGATACCAGGAAAGCAAAGCATATAGTTATTCTTACCATCTTACCTTCTGAGAAGCACGATTTCCTAGTTACATAAACTTAGATTTGACATGGTCCTTAATCACTTTTTACTTTGAATAATGCATATCTTTGTAGCTTTGTCTTGGGTTCTAGAAATGACAATGCTCCTTTACACCATCATGATCTCTTCTGATTTGGGTTCTTTTTATACAAAGGAAAACAGAAAACCTCAGCATCCCTCTATCCCATTGTAGTGTCCTCATCTTGGCAGCACAACTGTAAGCATCTTTAGGTCTGACTACACACTTCAAATCAGCAGCAGCTACAGAGTGCTTCTTGGGAACAGGGGAACACTTCCTCCACCTAAATCTACAGCACATAATTTAAAAATTCTTCAGAGGATGATTATCTGCACTCAGTCAGCAGAAACTAAGTAAATTCTGATACTAGTATGGATACTTTCATAAAAATAAAATGAATAAAATTATGTTTAAATGTTTTCCTGACCTCTTGTACAGTTCACTCTGTTTAAAAGATGAAGGGTTATACTCCAACAAACTCAAGTATAATTATAGTTTTGAACTAAAATTTTGTGGTTTTTTTCTGATATTATTGAAAAGAAACCCTTAATAGAAAAATATGGGGAAAAGATCAGATAAAAACTTTTGCAAAATTTCTCACAAACAAAAGACCAATAGCAGAAGTTTTGTAGTTGCAAAGCACACAGGGCACTATGCTTCTCACATTTGTACAGTACTTACAGTCATCAGTCATTCAATACATAGCAGTTGATCAAAAGCATTGCTTCTTTCTTAGAAATCATTAGATTGTGATTTTTCTGTGTCATCTTTCATGCTCTAATCCTTTACTTAGAAGATGAAGTTAGTCTCAGCTTTCATAGTCATAAAGCTTCCAGCCTTACAGTTGCAAAGATAAGTTTGAAATCAAATCAATATTTTCTAAAACAAAACAAACAAAAACACAACATAACCACAAAGAAAAGGTGACTCTCACCCTTTAGTTTCAACATTATGATGTTTAAACAGATATAAGGAGGTTTAAAGGCTTTTTATCTACGTGTTTGGTTTTTAATACTTATTGATAAGCACAGGTGAGACCTCATTCTGCTGTTACAACCATCCACAGGCACTAAAAAAGACCTTACCTCTCTCCACAAGTGACTGAGCAGATTTTTACATGATCTTGTAATTCATGTCAGAATTAGCAAAAGTAATACTACAACTCTTTACCTCTTAAGCAACTGTGGTTATCTACATTCATAGTGCATCATCAAAGTCTGTTCAAAAATGAATCGTATCTTTACATATTTTTCTTTTTAATGCTGGTAAAGTTGAAAGGTGGATATTATGCTTTTAATATTTGCATACATTACGATAATTAAAACAGAAATGCTAATTATTAATATAAAATGTAAAAACTGCTCAGCAATCAAGCTAATGAACTGCAGCATGTTTGATCGAGTAGTAAAAAGTCTTGCATCAAAATGGATTCTCTCAAAGATTTATACCAGTGTTCAGTATTGGAAGGAAAGCATGGTAAATAAAATTCCATCAGGAGACTACCTTCAAAGGCACACTCTTGTCCTGAACTAATTAGTTATTTGATGTAGAAGGACTCACAGTGGTATTCCCTTGGCCAAAAATGATTTTCGTACCAGGATGTACTTCACATGACCATTGAAGTTAATTCCTATTTCTTTACTACTTGGACACAATGCCATTGAGCTTATGAGTATTACATTTCTTACAAGGAATCGGGCTGTTTGCAGCCACTTCTCTCTACTGGCTGCAGGAGACAGAAGAATGCAGATTCCTTCTTCCTCCCTTGGCCTGCAGTATACATCTCTGTCAGCTCCCTGTATTCTTTTCTTTCCTAAAAGATTTAAGAACAGCAATTAAGTAGAAAACAATTTTTGCTGTCAAGTTCAGTTTGCTTGCAAGTTTCTTGCGCTCATAAGAATACAGTGTTTGTGAATGGAAAAGGTATAAACAAAACATTCTGTAGAAGTTTCAACATTTGTAAACCATCATCAGTTGTCACGTGCTTCTTTTTGGCAGCATGAGCATTAGTGGCTACTCTCACACAGGTGCTTTGACTCCTCAGGAGCAGGACTGGGATGAGAGCCTCTTCAAATCCCTTTCCTGCATATCACACCTCCGGGGCCAGACACCATCCATCCTTTTGTCTTCCTGTGCAGAGGTAAAAATATCCTGGAACTAATGGCCTCCAAATGATGCAACATTTGGTTGCAGTAACTACATAAAGAAATCCATGTTTATGAAGATTTTGGGGAGTGGAGAGGTAGGGGCAGAAGGAACAAAATGTTTTTTTATCCATTTAAACCAATTTAGTGCTGACATTTGTAACATCACAGTTTGAAGCCCCTTTATACTGCCTGTGAAAATAACAAATGAAGAAGGGAAAAGAAAGCTATTTTCTCATATTCTAAAAAGAGATGAACAATATAGAAAAACATAAGGAAGTGCATTAAGATCCAAATGGGAAAAATATTACATGAGTTGAGTATTTCTTTGAGTGTAAATAGGTAAATGAAATTCAGATTAAGATTGAAAAAGTTTGCTAAAATATAACATTTACTGTGACCAGGAACAGCTGGTGTTCCTAATATTATCTGCATCAGTACCAAGAGAGATTTGTTGTGTTTATTTCCTATCATGTGACCATTTCAGTTTCACTCTGCTCTGCAGCTGTCCCCAGTAGTGTGTAATGCAGGCTGTCTTTGTTTTAAGTATTTGGTACACAGCACAAAGTCAAAACAAGTCACTGAACTTTCAGAGTAAAACAGCCTGGTGTACCAAGGCCACTGTTTGCCTACGAGCTGCTTAACTGGTTATGCAGGCTTTATAGTAGCACATGTAATAAAATGCTAATGTTTAGAGAGTAAATATGTTTCATTTTTATAAAATATATACCGTGTCCGTGCTGTACCCACTGCAAAAAAAAAAAAAAAAAAAAAAAAGGGAAAAGTTCTAATATCTGATACTTTAAACATAATTCCCCATTGACAGACACAACAGCTTGGAGAACTTTAGATAAAAACGTATATAACTGCAGTAGGCCAAAGTACAAAGAAAAGAACTGCTTATATTTCAAACACTAAAGCAAATGGAGTGTTGCTTTGAGTTTAGGTAAGCAACAGCTTAGGTTGTCGTACATTTTGCTTTTAATCCTACAGCTCCCACATCAAGCACAAGAGACACTCATGAAATAGGCCCAAAAACAGTTGTTGTCTGTAGGCCTTGTAACTCACGGTAGAAATGGACTTCTAAAGCAGTGACCTATTTAAATGCTTTTAATGTCTTAGATTTTAAACTTTCAGTTTCCTACAACAAAAAAATTCTGATAATCTAAAGCTAAATTTGCTTTGCCTTTCAACAGGTTGCATTGCTATTTGTGAAGTTAGTTAGGGGATATTAAAAGCATGAGTGGTTATAACTCACTCTCATTATTCATCCGGTAAACAGTGACTTCTCACATCTGTAAGAGAAACCATTTCAGCTGCAGACTGCAATTAATCAAGAATGATTTCTTTCCACTTTCACTGCTATTAATGCTACGTTATGGTGCACTCCATACAGGAATTCAGGGAATAGCAGAGTCTCTGGGAAGAGAAGAGTAGGCCCACTTCATACAGAGGAATGAATTTAAACTGACACTGCCATCGTATATACGCTTACACCACAATAAAAGCTTGGTCTGAGTTTTGGTCAAGCAATTGGGTCTGCAGTTCCCTCACCTGAACCACATCTGTTCCAAGCAGAACAGATCTGTTGATTGCAACATTAATTAAGATTCAAAGAAGAGGTTTTCATCACTTTATTCCCTAATAACAATATTAAAAAAGGCTGAAGGCAGTGGTCTCAGAAGCTAGGAGTATTACATTATACTCTTGACTACGAGACTCTCCTTGCTCATTTTGTTATCCACCATACACTTTCTTTAAACCAATTTCTCAGTTCTGTAACCTACTCTTGGCCCATTGTTCTTTTTTTCTCTTTCTACCCAATCTTTCTAAGCACTGCACTGCTTATCTTTCTGCAAACAGTTTACTGAAGATTAAGTGAAGTTAACAATAGCACTCAAAATTGCAATTGTGGAGCAGATTAGAAACACAAAATGGCTTGAAAACAGGGAACTATAAAACTTTACAGTCATTTCATGAGCTGAATTATTCAACTAGAAGTAAGCCTGAAGTTCTGGAGTTTGTGCTTCTTACCCACAACTGTCATCCATAAATTAACCACACGGACTGACCAAAGTCAATACTGCATAGATCACTGCTTTAGAAAAGTAGCAGCGACGGAATCTCTTGAGACAGAATTTGTGGTTTTGTCTGAGAAGGAACAGTATGGCATAATGAAAAAAGAGTGACAGCTTATTGTGGAACTGAGCACACAGAGAAACGCTTTTCCAAGTATGATGGTTCTGTAGAAAGACAGTTTTGGAACTGACAACTTTTTGAAAAGCAGTATTCTTGTGTGGAGCTTTCAGCATCAGCACTGCTGCAGAAAGCTTCCAGTATCATATTCAAGCATGGAAAATTTTCAATACTGCCTTCCTTGTTGAAGGATGGACAGATGTTAAAGACTACAACTGTTTGGTTTGTCATGCTGCCCTGTGTTATATGACATAGCATGATGTAACCTTCCATGTTTATATTTAATTGCACAAAAGCTTTCTTTTTCAGAGAAGATAATCTAGGCAAAGGATGTTTTAAGAAGAATGCAGAGCAAAACTTGAAACAGCTTCTTTTATCCGTTTGATTAAATCATTTGAAAGACAGGCAGGTCTCATTTTTCCCATGCCAGTAATGGCACTTTCTCACCCTACCTGCTTTTCTACAACCATTTTCTTAAGAGTAGACAAGAAAAAACAATTCAATAGAAAAAATTTCACTGCAATCATATCCGATAATTTCCAGCGACTGTTCCAAAGTCTTGTTTTTACGTGAACTTGTAATACTAATATTAAGAGAAAGAATTAAACATTTCTTACATAGATATTTTGTTTTGTTTAAGAACTGAATTTTATTTTTAAGGTAAGATTTGAAATATTCTGCTCTGCTTTCCACTGCTAGAAATTGTCTCTGATGTAACTGTCCTGGTTACTTTTCAGCAACACGCTCCCGGAGTTCATGATACAATATGTTAGAAGCACCGGAATTTGGAGAACCGTTTCCCAAAAGTTGGTGTAGCAATTCATTGTCTTATTAATTGCATTTGTGAGGAATCAAAAGCAGAACTGATTTTGATGAAGTCAATCTACATTTTCGTATAGCTGTAAAACATGCGGGAGGCAATACTACTTTGTTCTCATTTGAATGGCCTGATATGGAGAGTTCTGGGCATGTCTGGCAAATAATTTTTTTTTTTTTTTTCTTCATCAGACCTACTAATGGTTGTATGATGATTCATTCTGCATATATTAGTATTCTAGGATCTGCTACAAAATGTCTTCATTAACCAGAAAACACTCTGCAATAAACTGTCATATGCAGGTGGCTCACCACAAAATAAATTAGTAACCATCTGGCAGCTTAATTCACTAAACAAAGTCACGCTTTCCAAGTAATACTTGAAGTAAAACCATTTGTAAAGGCCACACATAAAGAAATAAAGCACTCCTCACAAAGTGGCTCTAGGCCTTCACTGAGTTCACCGCTACAGAACTGACAGCGTTATTTCACTATGGAGAGGTAATGGGTTAGTTTACAGCAATAAAATACTGGAACACAGGACATTCCCTGCATAAATGTTTATTTTAGAAGATAAGCGGAAGCTTTGTTTGTAGCTTACATGCTATTAAAAGGAATGGCCACAGAAGTTAGGTGCTATAAGAGCTCAGATAAGCAGCTTCTGACAGGCTTTGACATCTGCCAAGGGAACACACACCTCTGCACAGCTCTGCCAATTCACCGCCCAACCACACTCCTTTAAAGAGGGTTCTGGGCAACTTCTTCCAGTTCACACTGCCTTTCAGGGCTTCATTTTGAGCAAACAAATAAAGATTAATACACAAGAGGGACAGAGGAGGCATTTGTTCCCATCTTAGCAACATTCTGTGGAAATGTGTCTTTGTTAGAATGAAGAAGGATGAGCTTGAAGGACTGGGCCTGATAAATGCTGCTCATTCAATGCTTCTAATGCTGAGCAGATCTGGAAAAGAAAGGACTTTGGACATAGGGTCAGACACGTCAATCTTATGCCCACAACTGGCCTGTGCGCAGGATAGGTCAGGGTCTTTTCCTGTTCCAGTTTAAAAGCTGTTATTATTTTTGCTGTTAAAAGAGATCAGTGCACCCTTAGTAAGCACAAGTGGAGCACTGGAGTTACACTACAGGAACACTGCAACTACACTTGGAAGAAGCACGAGCATTGGGAAGCGCTGTAATTTCAGGCACACTCATCTGGAGGGATGCTAACCGGGGAGCGAGAGATGGGCAGAAGGAAACCACTATCGACAGGACTCCAATTGCAGAGCAGTGGCGCGAACCGCAGCGGAACAGCCGCCCTCGCTCCAGAAGCGGAGGTTTCCCGGACACGAGGGGCCGCGTTCCCCCGGCGCTTCCCCTACGACCACGAGCGCTCAGTGGAGCCTCTCCAGCCCTCTACCTGCCGCCCTCCTCGCGGGGACAGAGGGAGCACACAGCGTTCCCCTTCACGGACCCCGCGCGGGCAGCAGGACCGAGCTTCACCACGCCGAGAGGAACAACGCGCCGCTCAGGCCTCAACTCCCCTCCTTTTGCGCTCTACCCGGCATTGTATATTTAAACCACGCTGCAGCATCCCGCTCCGCCCAATCACAGCGCGCGCGGATCCCGGC